CGCATATCCAGCATTTACCAGTCACCAGCCAACAATCTCCACCATGTCGTCTGCCACAATGCTCACAAGGTGGAAAAGTATAATCGACTAACTCTGCACCTCTACCGATGCCTCTACCAACTCCTTTGCTTGAACCTCGACTACCAACGGCAGAACTAGCCACGACCGATACCGCTGGCGCGTTAGCACCCTTAGTTGTGCCTTGGCTAAAGGGAGGCCTAAAACTAGCTGAAGTACTAGCACCTCTGAATCTCTTGCTCTCCGGCTGATATGTACTGGGTGCACTCTGAGTCTAGTCTCTCTTCTGCTGAGACCGCTGGCTGGTACGCTGACTGGCCTTAAATCCGCTCTATCTCCTGAGCTGCCTCTACCAAAGCTGAGAAACCTCTGAATTTGGAAGCTACCATCCCATCTGAAATCTCATCATGTGCCATGCTTCCCGTGAAACTTTTTTGCACCTCTCTGCCTCTGTAAGCCACTATCCGATCACCATACCTGTGAGTCTGGTGCATTTCTCTTTCATATCTGCACTGACATCTGTCTGCCGTAGGTATAAGAATTTCCTTCCTTCTGAGCATCAAGGGTAAGCCTTCGTTGATTGAACTTTTTCTTAAGTCATCCAAAGAGAATTGCTAAGTACGCTGCTCTGCTGATACTCTCTGCTCTGAACAGTTTATTCCACCATGTGTAGCCTCGTCTATCACAATGACTAGCACAAATAACTTGTCCTCTGGTGTATACTGTAACTGCTCTATGACTCTCAAAGTACCATCAACCAAACTTCAGCAGCTATTTCTGGACTGTCATCCTTGCTAGCTCTGAATTCTTTCGTACCGTATTTTCTAAGCTTTTCTAGTGGGGGCTTTCTTTCTCTATCTACTACAACTGGTGCCTGAGGTATCACCCCTGCAATCTGTCTAAAAGTATCCGCAAGTTGTTTTAGCTGCACCTCTTGCTCTGGTGCTACTAGAGCCTCACCCTCCACTGCCCTGGAGGCGTGTGGCTCGCTCTCACCTTCCTATGACATCCTCCTAGAAGAATAACAACTGCTTAGTTCATCAAGGTAGTCATGGCATGTACACTGACATATGCATTCAAGCCCCCGAGGATACTAACTAGTGCTTTGATACCAAAATTTGTTAACATCGCTTCCGTTGCGGTCCACCCGTAAACCCAATGAACCGAAACCGAGACGCTACAATCTTGGTTGAACCTATCGTTTCCCTTCAGGCTATATCCTGAGTGTATGTTGATATTATATCATGCTGATATCATTCTTGTATGCTAAATATATATTCATGCTGATGTTAAGCTACATTAGTAAATAAGAAGTACTTAATATTTACAAGACATATACAGTTTCCAAAATGAAATGGGCCCAACAGTGGCTCTGTACATGCCTGATCAAGTATAGGAGCAAAACCAAAAGATCAAATGAAGTATACCCTGAAGACTGGGTCTTCCAAAATGAACTGCAACAGTTATAAAGATGACTCTGTACGGTCCAGTCTCAAATCTACGGTTAACAAGTAACTCGCTGAGCAATAAACTCAATGGATATCTCAACATATAAAGAAACATGTTAAGCACACACTATGTAACAAATAAATATAACACACATAAATCAGGATACTTTCCTTATCGGTTACTTGCTGTTCGATTATGCGGTATAATTTATAAATAATACAATCTCATAACTGTATGGCTCCATAAGGTTACAGTGAAACCTAAGTGATAAGAAGAACTGTATGAAACTGGATGAATACTCTATGGCTGGGCTACTATGACCCCCTATATAATCATATCCACTCAACGGCCTGTAGCTAGAGTACCAAATTGTATGGGGCGCAGATTTGCTATCCTATGTCGCGACATAGCCTTATCTACGTGTTTTCTACCTAACCTCAGTGGAGCATATTGTATGTCTTTCAATAATACAATAAACATATTAAATTATTCATAAAATTTATATACCATACTGTTTACCCGTATGCTGTCTCATTCTGTATGTTTCTAACCTGTTTCATGATTTAAGAGGATTTAAATACAAGTAATATCTAATGAGTAATAATGCAAACAATTGATAACTTACATGTAAAGTAACTTGCATGGAAATAATCTGACTGTTGTACCCGCGTCATAGAAAAAGAGGTCCAAAAAGGCATCAGAACACAAGTCGCAAGCGCGACATTAAAATTCACGAGCGCGAGAAGCACACAAGAGAGTCAGAGAGTTTACCGGCACAAATCACAAGCGCGACATGAAATTCGCGAGCGCGAGTCGTGTTTCCAACCTGCACAGGTTGTACTATTTTGGTCATATCTCTCACTTTATAACTCCGATTTGGGTGATTCAAAAACCCATGAACAGCTAACACAGAGGAACAAATAACTCTTCTATACCACTTCCTAATTCCATGATTAAATAGGGTCAAAATCAAGGTGAAGTTACTGGTCAATTTCCAACAAACCTATTTCAGCATGAAATCAATATCTACTTCATTTATTCATTTCATCCCATGCTTTCTCACCATTTCCAGTCCTCTTACTCAACATTCTACTCAACATTCAATAACGTCTCTGTCCATTATTCCAGAACACACTACCACAACTTCTTCATGTAAGAAAATTATTTAAAACTTAAAAGAGATATCCAAACCTTCACTTAAAAAGCTTGAAATCTTCTTCTTAGCTTCCTTTTTCTTCTACCTTTGAGCTCACCTCTCCTATACATAAGAACTCTTATAAATAATCTAAAATATCACTAAATTATGCATACTCTCAAAAATCACTAAATTATGATATTCAAGAAATTATACTTACTTGGAGAGAATAGATGTTGAATTTAATGCTTGAATACTATTAAAATTGATGGAGAAATGAAGGTGAGTAAAGGAGATGAAGGAGATGAAGATAAAGACGAAGAAGGAAAGTGAAATGGAAGTCTCGGGAAAGCTCCAATATAACAATGATTTTATGTGAAAAATTACCAAATAGTACCTATAGTTGCAATAGATTATAATTTCATACCTAAACTTTATATTTTAGTGCAAGTAAGTCATAATCCTTATACTTTGATCTTTTTGTCTCATTCAAGTAAGCCCCCTTCTTTTCATTATTATTGTACATCCCATACTACCCCACTCTGGACTCTAATTGCTCAAATCGGGTCATTATTATTGTACATCCCATACTACCCCACTCTGGACTCTAATTGCTCAAATCGGGTTTTGGTTCAGCCCGACTCAACTCAACTCTATGCAACGAATCGATTCAGTAGGATGTCACATATCATTTCAGTCTTCTTCCAATTTAGTTTCTCAGACTGAGAATAGATTCGAAAATAAGATTTTCGATTTAATTAAATTCAAAAAATTTTAAACATGAAAATTTGAGATATTATAAAAATAATCTATTAAAAATTGGTCAATAGAAAGTATTTTTCTTTTATTAACAATTTTTCCTTTCAAAAGAAAAGTTATTTTCTAAATTTTGGCAAACTCACTACAATAAAAAAAAATTCCAGAAACACATGTACCTTAATATATTCTTCTATGATCATCATACTCATCAACAATAATAACCACCATCAACTTTAAGCTACAACTTCCAATGACAAACATAATTTACCTCTTTTATATAATTTTCTTTTTTTCTTAAAAGAGTAAGCACTTGTGTGAGGAAGAGATAAGATAAACATTTTACTAAGGTTAGAGTAATTTTGATAAAGCACGCTAACCAACATATATTATATTACTTCTTTTTTGAGAAAAATTGACAATTTATTGATAAGTAATATAAGACAGGTACTCATAATATTCTTATAAGATAAATAAGCAATGCAAATAAAAATAATTGAAATCTTCTATTTCACAGATGATATTAGTAGAAGAAATAAATCTTCCAAATTATGACGTGGGCGACAAAAGAAACTCACAAATTTTCCTCTTTCCGAAACTTGTTGCATCTAATTCAAACCAACAAATATTAATGAAGAAACATGTCACACTACTAGGCTCTATCAGTAGAAAAGCATTACCTGCACTTGAAGGTCTAAAATCTCCAAGAAAAAAAATACAAAACTACAAACACAAATAAAAACTTCTCAATAAGGAAGAGTAACTCATTCAAAGGGGATCAAACACAATAAATTCTCACTAAAAAGGATAAAAAAAAACACTTTAGATTTGCTAACAAAAATAGAACAAAAGATTTATGTACTTAAGAACTCTCAACAATGACAAACCTCATAAGCTAGACCTAAGATATGATATTAAGTATAAAAATTAAGAAAAAGGATAAAGAAAAGAATGAGAAAGGAACCACAACTCACTAGAAGATAAGGAATAATGCTATTAATAAATTAAAAGATACAAATTTTTTTTATAAGACCATTTTAATAGCATTGTAAATTAAGAGTTTTATATTTTCCAAATACATTTTAATATTGCAACTAAACAATTTATTTCAAAGTTAATTATATGCATTTACAATTTCAAAGTTAGGTTATTCGCTTAATTTGAAAGAGAATAGAATAATAACATTTCTTTCTTCTGGAACTAAGTATATTTTGTTTAAATTAGGAGAATTAATTGAATTAATTGGATTTGATTTACACACCAAGACATATTTTAATGGTAAGTGCATATACAACCTGGTAATAATTCCGAGTATGAATCCTCTTCCCCAATACTCAAAAAAAAAAAAAAGGTGTAATTTAATTTTTTATTGAAAAATAGAAATTTATAGTTGGTTAAATGTTTATTAAGCTCAAAAAATAATTTATATAATTTTAATTAATTAAATTTGTACAATTCAGTTTAGTTTGAACCAAATCGAACAGATAGAATACATTATTCAAATTCAAAGGTGGAAAATTCACCATTATTCCTTTCTTTCTAAATTCTAATTTTCTTAATCTCAGTCTGTTATTTCTTTGTAATAAATAAAACAAAAATAAAAGGTAGCATTTTTATGCGGATAGAGAGAGAATGGTATTGATGGAGACAGCAAACGGCGCATCAACCGAACGCGTCGTTGTTGGTTGGAGCATCCAAATCCAAACACAACGCCTTTTGATATTTTGGTATCAAAAATATGAGGGATGAGATAAACAACTGGCGGAAAATACTATAACTTCACATTTCTCTTATCTTTCCCTCCCAAAATAACAATGGCTTTGCCTCTGCCATTTGCTAATTTCACTCTCCAATACAGTAAGGCCAGTGTTGTTGAGAATCAGTGCTGTCCTGCTTTAGATACTACACGACTTCGCATTCTTTACAACAAGTACACAAGAAATCGGAGGTATGCTTGCTTATTATTGTTATCATCAGCTTGAGTATATTATCATTGATTTTGAATTGACGGTCAAAATTTGGGTTAACCAACTTAATTTTACTAATAGAATTCAGATTTTTATATGACCCATTTATTATTCTGAATTCTTGTTTGGTTTTTGCTGATTTCTAGATTTAGGACTCACTAATGAGCTATGGATCTTCTAAAAATGTTGGGTTTAATTTAATTTCTCCTGCAATGTATTCATATTAACAATTCTTTGATTTTCTGCTGAGAAAATCTAATGGGTAGTATACTTTCTTTCCTGCGAAGTACCGCAGTTTATCAGTTCAGTCTGCAATTATTTTGCTGTTATGCTTTGTCTTCTTTTTATATGTTTTCTTTTAATGCTTTAGAGCTCAGGCTTAATCTGTTTGATGAAGGATCTTGCTGCATGCTTATCCTTTGATGATCTCCCCTTGATCTCAATATGAACAATTAGAATATAAAATTTTGCATTTCATGCATACAATTCCAATGAACAAGCCTCATGGTAAGTCATATAATTTAACAACTTTTTTTACATCCCATCGCTGCCCTTATCAAAGTCAAATGGTGGCGTTTATTGTCTGTGTTGCAGCCAGCCCTTTTTCTACAGCCTAATTTAATTGACTGTTATTATGCTACCCAGAGACCTCACCCCTGTAATGTAGTAACTGCCCAAAATTTAGTAACTTTGCCTGCCATTCTTCTCTGGAAACTAAAGTAGTCTGGAATGGATCAAAATTTCAGATCCTTTTGGTATTTGAAATTTGCGTTCAAACAAATGGTGAATATTCTTTTCACTACAATGATTGGTAACAACTCTAATTTGTAACTTAACTGATTAAAGAATTGTCTCCAGCTGGAAGCCTTTCACCACTAGCAATCAATAGCACTACCTTATTGGATACAATTAGAAAAGCACAATCAAGAAAACAAATATTTACGTCATAAAACTAGTAAGCAAAGCCTTTGAAATGCATTATGCCGTGTCACTGCCATTCTGCTTTTACAGTGCTTGCTAGCTACTCACATATATGCAATTGTTGCTAGATTGTCATCTTATGGGACCATAATCATTCCAAGGGCATCGTCAGCTACCATTGAGGTATGGAAAAATTTTGTTGCTTTGTTACAATAATACGTACAAGTTTACTAACTTTAGTTTTTAAATTGGGGAATGGCGATGCAAGCAGGATGGAAGTTCCAACGACACTGACACTATTCCAACTCCCAAAGTAATAATTGACCAAGACTCTGATCCAGATGCAACTTTAGTGGAGATAACCTTTGGCGATCGTCTTGGAGCTCTTCTAGATACTGTACAAACTATTTACTTGCTGATATAATAATTTGTAACTGGCTTCTTTTTTAACTTGGTTTCGTTTGGATCACTTGTATTTTGCTTGTTACTATTTTAGAATCAAAGAGCTAAGGTAATGTTTGGTCAGATAACAAAAGAAATATTTAAAGAGAAAAAAAATACATTTTATACAAAGTAAATTAATTTCTTATTCTGATTATGTTTTTTCTTTTTGAGTAATATTAAAAAATCTAGTAAAAGTACATTTTTTGTATTGCATAAACCAAGTTCTTTAAACTCCTTTCTGTAAAGCAAACAGCCAAAAATGCAAGCAAACTTGAAACACTTGTTTGTTTCGGATTTTAGATTTTCTGATTAGGAAACTCTTACTCCTAAATGATCAAATTTGTTACCATATAGAGATAATTTGATCATGGTACTTGTGACAGATATAACTTTGATCAAAAGTATGCTAAATGTGTTACAGATGCATGCGCTTAAAAACCTTGGGCTCAATGTTGCAAAGGCTAATGTCTTTTTGGATTCTTCTGGGAAGCACAATAAATTTGCCATCACTAAAGCGTAAGTTACATGCTTCATGTACTTTTCATGTTTTTCCTCTTTTCTACAGTTGGGTTCTTTCTGTCCCAACGCTTATGTTCTTTTATTATCCAACTACTTTATGTCATAATTTCTTTATATTGTTATTACTCCTTGTCATATTTTCTGTTCCCTAAAAGTGTTAATATGTACCCTTGATAACATAATTACTTTACCTGGTTTCTGAAGCAACCTTCCCTGCTGATTAAGCTACTTTAATTGATAATGCGGCAAAAGTATGCTAACACCCTGAAAGTCAGAAATCATGTGTTGTCCAAATTCTGTGTAATGAAAACCTATATGATGGAACTTCTTCTTTTTCTTTCTTGTAAACACAAATGGTTATGCTATTCATCATTTCTAATGAGTTTTATGAACCATCTCTTGTCATGGTTTTTCTTTCCAATGAATTTCATTGGCTCAGTGGTGGAGCCTTTTCCTTAGTGATACAGGTAGAAAAGTTGAAGATCCAGAGCTGCTTGAGGCCATTCGATTGACCATCATAAACAATCTGCTAGAGTATCACCCCGTAATCTTTTCTGAATTTTATTTGTTTTCCTTACGTTCAATTTTATCACATTCAAAGCTCTTCTTGTAGGATATTCTTCACCTTATAGGCCTAATGAATGTCAATTTGGGTCCAGGAATCAAGTTCCCAATTAGCAATGGGAGTTGCCTTTGGAGTAATGCCACCCAAACAACAGGTTTTTGCTTCTTCTTTTCAATTGATTGCATTCTGAAGTTCTTGGTTTTTCTCCTTAGAATTCGGAAGCGTTCAGAGACGACTGTAATATGTCAAATATTTACTTGTCGAAGATGAAACAAATTTTACACACTGTATATCAATTCTTGAAATTAACTTTAGTTCTGTCAAACATTGCTCAAACCTTTTCATTTCGTGATTCCCCAGGTTGATGTGGATATTGCAACTCACATAAACATCTATGATGAGAGTCCTCAGCGGAGGTAAATCTTTTGGCTCTTGCAACCTAACTCCTACCCATGCAATAGTAATTGCATACATTAGAAACTTTATGCCATGTGGCATTTATAGTTTACTTTTTAAGGAAAGTGAAGCTGGTAAAAGTGCACTTTGACAATTTTGTTTATTTTCCTTTGTATTCCGAAAAAGCTGAAATGAGAGTCCATGTTGCCATTATGCAAATGCTTGTGGACCATGAATCCTACATCTTACATATTACATACTGTTAACCTGACTTGTTGAACCTGTATTCATTATTTAACTTGTATCTCCATTATAGTTTTTAAAGGTGCACTTCTTGTTGTAAAGGCTCAAGGCAAGATACTTGGCATTCCTCTAAATAGTCTATTCCGCAGAACTTTTTTGAAAAGAAAACAAGGAAGTTATTTTCATTCAGGCACGCTTCATGCTATTTCAAAATTTTTGAAGGAAATAACTATTTTTCTCTCTATATCATTGATCAGAGTACTATAGCAGAGCTTTACATATGAGGAAAGAATGTTTGCAAGGTCATAATTTATTGCTAAGAACTAGAATAAAAGTATGTTTGTGAACACGAGAGTGAACCTCCTTCGACTTTGGAATCTGATTGAGTAATTCCTGAGATCTGGATGTCATTTGCTGATTTTCGGTTTGTAAATTTCTTGTGATTTGTTTCATGAGGTTATTTTCCTTTTCAGATTTAGTTCAACTCTATCACCAATGTCCTTTTCTTTTCTTTGTTATCTCACCTATTTTTCTCTCCTTTTCTATATGGCTCTCAGATTTCTCCTTCTATATGCTTTTGTTTATCTCCTTTTGTCCTTTTTTGCCTTTGTGGATGCTTTTGGTGCATTTTTTTTTCTTAATTTTTATAGTAGATTCCCATGCTCAGCAATCTACTTTGTGTGAATTGATGTTAAATAGTTAATTTGACAATAATTAATCTGCAAGTAGAGAAAAAGAAAAAAAGAAGTTAGATTGACAACATACAATATGCTTTTCTATTATGTGAAAAGGACTACATTACTGTGGCTAATGGTTGTTTTTAGGGATTATTTTCTATTTAGTAGAAATTTGGTTTTAGAGTTCATAACATCCTTAGCTTTATTTTATTTGGTACTAGATTCTAAATCTTGTGTTATTAATGTGAGTAATTGTCATAGATAGGATCAGCTGTTTATTTTATCTCTTCTATGCCTCACCTTAGTTAACTATGATCCTTAATGTTGTAGTTATTTCTTGGTCATATGTAGTTACATGTATGAAACCATTAGATTAACAAAATAGTAGACGCCATACATGAAGAGAGAAAATATTTGAAAAGGACATATGATAACGAAACCATTAGAGTATGTATTATGTGACCAAAAACAAAGAAGTTCTCTATCTATTTTGTTTCTCATATATTTGTGTATATTTATGTTCTAAACTGTACTTCTAATGATTTTTTTAACAAGTTTCAAGTTAGTAATGTAGAGTCTAATAATTACTGAATTTAGGGTCCACTTTGTGAAATCATGTCACTTGTGGCATGATTTCATTTCTTCTAATTGACTCACTTTTTTAAATTCTAAAAGAATTTAATTCTGTTAATTATACATTTCCGAATATGACAATTAGCGATACAATTCAGTTGATTTAATGTTCACAAATTTTGAATTTCCAAATGGAGCTCATGGTTTGGAGTGAAGTTTCTTTCAGAAAAATTTTTAAGTCTTGTTCTTGATGAACAGGTAAAAGTAATAGACGTAAGAGGTTAGTGTGTCACTATTATGATTGGAGTGGTGATTGGGGTTTGTTTTCGGCAGTTTACTTTATGTAGAGACAGCCGATCGCCCTGGATTGTTGGTGGATCTTGTGAAGACTATCACTGATATTAATGTTGCTGTTGAATCAGGAGAATTTGACACTGAGGTACCACTTTCTTCATATGCTTACATTAGTCATTCCCCTTCTTCGTCTTCTTTGCATCTTTGCAATCAGACTGTCATTACTTCTTCTGGCACCTAGGGATTGTTGGCCAAGGCAAAGTTTCACGTCAGCTACAAGGGTAAAGCCCTCATTAAGCCTCTCCAACTGGTAAGTTTGCTTCATAGTAACATGTGAAAAGGGCCAAATACATAAGTTAATCCTGAACTTTGCAATTTTAACCTTATGGCATGCTGAACTTTATGAATGACATTTCGTACACTGGGATTTGCAAATTTTGGTAATATTGAACACTTCTCCATACTCAGAGCAATAGTTTTTATGATTTTTAGCTTTTATATGCAAAATATTGATTTGATGTGTAGTTAGCATAATTTTTGGAACAATAATGTTCACATTTTTTCACTATTTAATAGGTGTTTAATTGATCTAATTTTGCAAGTTGACGTGTTCAATTGTTTAATAAGTGTAATTTATAAATTGAAGTGTTTAATGGGTCAAACTAAAAGTTGAGAAAGCCATAAGGTTAAAGTAACAAAGTTTAGAGGTAAATTTATGTATTCGGACCATGGGGAAACATTAATCTGTGCTTGTATGATGCTATGCCATCTTGCATTGTATACCTATCAGAGACTAAGGCTTCATTTGGTTCGCAGAATAAAATTGTTGGAAGGAGTATAATAATTTCATGGAATGGAATAAAAGTTTTTGCAGAATACACTAATGAAAGACTGGCTTTATGAAATTTGGCAGGTTCTTGCTAACAGTTTGCGGTATTTCTTGAGGCGACCAACCACTGAGGACGCAAGTTTTTGAGCCTTTCCAGAGAATATAACCAAATTCTGGATTTATGAATTGTTAATGAAGGAGTGAATATATTGAATGTTGTAATATTAATTGCACATACAACATTCACTCATTGGCCTCAAAAAAGTATTTATAATCATTATTGCATCTTATCTTGTAATAAAAATGATTTGTTGAATGGAAAAAAAAAATATTAGTTTCATAATTTTAGTCAAACTTTTCCTTATGATGCTTTGATACACTTGCTAATTGACATGACCAAAATCATGAATAAATAGATTATTTTCTATAGATATATGGCAACCTAAGTGATTAACTTATATTGGATAGCAAATTATGGTATTAGTTTATATTAAATAGTAATTAAACAATAATTTCATATTAACTAGGTAAATAATATAATTATTTTATAGAAAATTTAAATGTTAGTCGGTTAGTATCCATTTTAAAACAAATAGGAAACGAAAATGTGGAGAAACGCGTAAATATTAAAAATTTATGGATTTATTTATAAAATTTAAAAATGTAAGAATATGTATAAAAATAAGTTTAGAAATAATACATTTATAATTTTTAAAAGACTTTTAACTATAACTTAAAATAAATCATTATAAATCACGTAATTAATTTAATATCAATCAATTATCATGTTGCGTCTCTCTTCTAAGAGTTAGGTTTTTAATTAATTTAATATCAACCAATTACCATGTTGCATCTCTCTTATAAGAGTTAGGTTTTTATCTTGTCGTTGACAAGTTCTCTCTTCTCTGGTTTCTTTTCTTAAGGTTTTTTGTTGGAGGATGACAATATTTCTGCGGACATGGCCAACCTCTCGGTGAATAGCAACATTCCGGGTGTGGCAACCTCTAGCTTCTCTCCAGCGGCCAACGTTAGGCATGATGGTGAAGGATTCAATGATGGTTTGTACGTGTTCCAGTTCTTTCATGAGATTGATCTGAATAGAGTGTTGGATATGTGTCCTTGGACCTTCAATAACCATATTCTCCTCTTAGAACGGGTGGCCAGGTATAAACACCCTATTGATGTGCCGTTATTTCATATTTAACTTTGGGTGCAAGTACATGGTTTGCAGGTGCTTTTATGTCTGAGAAAGTGGCGAAGAGGATTGGCAATGAAATTGGTGAATATTTTCAAGCGAATCCCAACAATTTCACAAGCATCTGGTGCTCTTATATGCGGATCCGAATTCGTCATCATGTTAGGGTACCACTACATAAAGGTATGAAGTTGAAGAAAGAGGGTGGAGAGTGGTTCACAGTGTCCTTTTGTTATGAACGCTTGCCTAGCTTTTGTTTTTTGCGTGGCCTTCTTGGTCATGGTGACAGATTTTGCCAGCACGTGGTTCAAGTGACAGAGACACTGGTGCAGTGAACATGTATGGTCCTGAACTTCGAGCGATGCCCCGCCGTGCCCAGAAAAACGTTGGTGCTAAATGGCTGCAGGAGGAGCCATCGAAGGAGGAGGAGATGGCAGCAGCTTTTAGTGGACAAGCTTGGATTGGAAATTCCTTCTTTTTCGATCCTAAGAATGCGGCTAATTCAGTTTCAAAATGAGGTATTAGGGGAGATTTTGGTGGAAATCGTGGTACCACTCCTTATGGCAATTCAAATTTAAATTTTGATTTACTTAAGGATGGTTATGAAGGAATGATTATTCTGGACCTTAAGAGGCGTAAAATGGCCTAAGAGCAAGTTTTGGTCCTTGTGAAAGAGGGGGGCCTTGTAGAAGCTGATGTTAATGATCCAAAAAACTTGATATTGACGGGTACTTTGTCTCAGGCCCGCCGGAAGAAATGAGTTACCTGAGCTGGAACTATCGTGGGCTGGGCAACCCACGAATAGTGTTGACTCTGCAGGATATTGTTAGAGATAAGCGGCCATCTTTTCTTTTCCTTGTTAAAACTTTATGTTCTAGCATTAAAATAAATGAAATAAAATCCATTTTGGGCTACGATGATTTCTTTTGTGTTGATGCTTTGGGCCACAGTGGAGGCCTGGCCCTTCTTTGAACTTCCATGAGCACAGTTTCTCTTCTTAGTTCTTCCTCATCGCATATTGATGTGTCTGTCGATTTTTATGGGCTATGCCAATGGCGGCTGTGAACACTCAAATTTTGAGGCTCAAAAAGCCTGTTTGTCCGGACTGCAAACAGTCCGGCTGGGTCGGAGGCCATTCGAAAAGTTCACCGAAAGTATGCCAATATGGTACTTAAAACGTCCGGAAAATTACGAGGATCGCAGAACTGGTCCCAGAATATTTGACTTTAACGTCGGAAAAATTTACGAGGATCGCAGAACTGGTCCCAGAATATTTTTTGGAGAGGACGGAAGGCTCGAAAAAGCCTGTTGGAACGGAAAATTAGCAAGCTGGATGTCGCACGGCGGCGGCGCCCGCACGTCACGGTGCAGCAGCCGCCTCTGGCCTGTTTAATTTCTATTAAATACAGCCACCGAGTTGACTGTTTTAGGGACCTCAGTCTTGTGCTTACGGACGTTTCATCTCTTCTCGTCCTACGCTCCTTCGTTCTGTTACTGCTTTTTCTGCATTTAGCGTGTAGGCTCATTACCTGCCTGTTGTGATACTTTAGGTCACTTTATATTAATATTTAATTTTAATTATATTCCCCCAAACGAGGAGCTTAATCTGGAATTTTCTGAAGCTTATAGGAAGCGGGCCGCCGATTAACTCAGTAATATCGAAACCTCTGCCTAATTAATTCAGCATTTTGTGCATATTTCTCTTCTTTACTCCCTAATTCTAACTAAAACAACTGCATTCACACCCATAATTCTTTTGGCAGCAAACTGCCTTAAGTAATTAGTTTTGCTTAACAATGCGCCGAGTTATTCAATACAATGGTATTTAATGCTAAAACTTTCGAAATATGGCTTAAGTTGCTTAGTTAATTATAACTTGCGTGTAATGCCTTTATTCGAACAGTTTATTTTTATAACCTTTCCCAACATCCTCCACACTTCCGTTTCCTCATCCTTAATCTATTTTTCGCTTAAAGTCCAATTAATCAATAATTGTATGCGCTTAAAAAGTCAAATCAATCACGTTTTGGCAAACCTAAATTGCCTACAGCTCAATCAATCTACCGTTTTTTTGCAACAAGATGCCTATTAATTCAAATACAACCACCTTTTTTGGCGACAAATCGCGACAAATCGCCCAAATAATCACCTTTTCTTTGGCAATAAATTGCCTAAATTACATATCATCTTTTGGCACGAATGCCTTATTCATTTTGGCGACAAGTCGCCCAACAAAACCCTTTTGGCACAAATGCCCTTAATCATTTTGGCGACAAAATCGCCTAACCAATTTTTGGTGACAAATTGCCCAACTTTTGGCACAAATGCCTTAATCAATCATTTTGGCGATAAATAGCCCAAACATCATTTTTTGGCAATAGATGGCCCAATCAAGCACCTTTTGGCAACAAATGCCTAAAACAACAAATCAATCAATCTTTCGCAAAATGCCTAAAAAATGCACAAAGCATACACACACTCATATGCATGAAGCATACCCTTCAAGATGCCTTTTTGAATAGGCCTTTATCGAACTACGTCGACTTTGATCTCGGTCATTCAAACGACGGTACGTAGCACGTTCGGGATTTTGACCCGAGCGGCAAGCCGAACATCATCAAAACACTTTATTGGTCCAAAAAAATAAAATTTTGCCATCATTACTCTTGCAAAAGCTATTCACACTTAGGTTATGTTAATCAGCATGGACATTCAGTCTCGGATCCACCTCGAGTTCATATGATTTGCTGCCTTATAAAACATTGCGATACATTAGGCCATTATGACTTTAGGTATTTAAAAATTAGAGTCATTTAGGGTTCTTCTTAGGTTATCCTGTATAAAAATTTAAAACTAGGTGGCGATTCATAAAACACACATGTGAGATACCTCGTTCCAGCAACAAATTTGCCTTCGGGGAGGTTCATATAAAAATAAACTAGGTGGCGACTTCATAAAACACACATGTGAGCATACCTCGTTCCAGCACAATTTTGCCTTCGGGGGAGGGTTCACAGCGGCTAACCAGTTTTTATGGTAGAGCGGATCGGGCTCATAGGATTGAGACCTGGCAATTATTAAGGAATTTGGCTGTTGAGAGTTCTCTCTCTTGGGTCTGTGTAGGGGCCTTCAATGACATTTTAGCTTCACATGAGAAGCGAGGTGGGCTTCCTCAGTCCAATTGGCTCTTTCAGGGCATTAGAAGTGCAGTTGCAGATGCGGGCCTTTTTTATTTTTCTATAGGGGTTACAAGTATACTTGGATTAATGGGAGGGATGCTAATGGATGGGTTGAAGAGAAGCTGGACTAGGTTCTTGTTTCAGGGCCTTGGAGAAGTCAATTTATTAATTCCATGGCCTACTCCCTCGAGGTTACATCCTCCGATCATCTCCTAATCTTCTTCGAGAACTTTTTGTACCTCGTCACCAAGCTCATTTGTTCAGATTTAAAAATTCTTGGACTCGGGAACCTGACTGTTGGAGGTTAGTGGAGGATTGTTGGTGGAACAGTGCGGTGTCTAATGTCCTTGACAAGCTTCAACAGTGTTGTTTTCGATAGTTGGGGGTGTTCTCTTCGCAATTTGTTTAAGGCTGAATTGTTATAGTGTAAGGCAGAGATGAAGGCTTTCTGTTGAGCCCAAGATGGACCCAATAGAGAACAATTTCTTGCTGCTAATAACCGTTACTTGGAGCTCCTTCATCAATGTAAGATATATTAGAAACAGCGGGCCAAGGAATTTCGATTGCGCGAAGGTGATCAAAATACTCACTATTTCCATTCTATGGCAACTACTCGCCAAAAGAAGAATAGGATCGATAAGCTCAAAGATTCAGATGGAATTTGGCATGACTGGAGCTTGAATCTGGAAGGGGTCATCTCTGATTATTTCATGGACCTTTTTCGCTCTCACCATGGAGATGGTGAGTCAATCCTCTCCTGTGTTCCTTGGTTATCACTACTATCTTGAATAATTTGCTTATGGATCCATATACTCATGAGGACGTTAAATCTGCTCTATTTAGTATGAAGGCTTATAAATCTCCTAGTTTGGATGGTTTAGTCCTGGCTCCTACCAGCAAAATACTGGGATGTTGTTAGTCCTGAAGTGTCGGACCTTTGTCTCTCTTTTATTCAATCAGGTTCTTTTTAGCAGCACTTGAATGAGATTGCAATTATTTTGATTCCAAAGAAATTTTCTCTTAAAAATATGGGGGACCTTCGTCCAATAGCCCTTTGCAATGTGATTTACAAGATGTTTTGCAGATGCTAGCTAACCGCCTAAAAGTTCTTCTGCCTGATCTGATTTCTTTGAACCAAAGTGTGTTTATGGCTGGTCACAATACTCATAGTAATAATATTGTGGTTTATGAGATTATGCACTATTTTCAGCATAAGACGTGGGGCAAGTCAGGTTATGCAGCATTGAAGATGGATATCAGCAAAGCTTATGATCGCTTACAGTGGTCTTTGGAGGATATGTTTTTAAAAATGGGTTTCCATCAGTGATTTGTTCGCTTCGTCATATTTTGTGTCTCCAATGTCACTTATAAAGTCCTTCACCAGCGTCGACTTTTGAATCGAATTATCCCAGAGTGTGGTCTAAGGCAGGGAGATCCCCAGTCGCCGTATTTGTTCATTTTATGCACTAAAGGTCTTTCCTGCTATATTCAGAAGCATGTTCTTTCTGGTGCTTTGCATTGCGTGTTGATTTGTCGAAGTGCTCTACAGATATCCCATCTCCTTTTTGCTGATGATAGTATCCTTTTTTTCAGAGCTATGGCTAATAAAGCACATATTATTAAGGTTATTGTCAGTAAGTATGAGATAGCTTCTGGTCAGGTTATCAACTTCGAAAAATCCCTTATTTGCTTCAATGCTAATACTGATTTGGTTGTTTAAAATCATGTTTGTTCCTTGCTAAATGTGGCTGAGCATGATAATTTGGGTAAGTACTTGGGTCTTCCTACTGTGGCGGGCAGGAACAAGTTAGAGGTTTTTCAGTTCGTTAAAGATAAGGTGTGGCAGCATTTGAATTCTTGAAAGCGGCGAGCTCTGTCTGCATAGGCAAAGAGGTGTTGTTGAGAATGATGTTGCAAGCTTTGCCTATGTCATAAGTCTCTTTCTACTGCCTAAGACTCTTTGTCATGATCTCCAACGGATATGTCCTTTTTGCCTATGTCATAAGTCTCTTTCTGCTCGCTTGTTCAAGGCCAAATATTACTCAAATACGTCCTTTTTGGAAGCACCGGTGGGTCAGAACTTGAGATATACTTGGCAAAGCTTACATGCTACGCAAGCTCTTATTAAGTCTCGTATGTATTGGAGAATCGGGTTTGGGTCTCAAGTGAACATATGGACACCCCCCTGGTTGAGAGATAAGGATAATGCTTTTGTAGAAACTGTCCTTGATACTAAGTATGCTATCAATCTAGTATCCGATCTTATTTCAGGCCGTCACTGGAATGTTCCTCTTGTTGGTTCCATCTTTAATGTAAGGATAAAGCCCTCTCCTTCTGATTGTATGTGCTAGAAATTTAAGGACATAGGTAATTATTCTGTGAAAAGTGCCTACAAACAATTAGTTTGGGATCCTAATTTGCTGGAGAGTTCAGTTGTTCGAAACACTTGGTCTTCTCTTTTGAGGCCTAAGATCAGGAACTTCATTTACCGAGCTTCTTCAAACATTCTCCCTTGCATGACTGCTCTTTCAAGGAGACATGTTCGTATTATTGATATCTTTCCTTTGTGTCATGGTGTAACTGTGACATCCTACCGAGTCGAGTCTTAGCATGGAGTCGAGTTGAGTCGAGTTGAACCAAACCCGGTTGGGGTAGAATGGGTTTATAAGTGAGCAGGGGTCGAGTTGAGTCGAGTTGAACCCCAAACCCGGTTGGGTAGAATGGGTTATAAAGTG